CGACCCGCCCCTGGGGGACTCGGTGGAGGTGGCCCCAGGGGCGCGGAGCTTCCAGAGCGTGGGCGCCGGGTCCTGGTTGCCCGGGAACTGGGCGGACGCTCCCCTCGGCTCTGGAATGGCGTGCACTCGCCCCTTTGCCCTGCTGGAAACGGACCTGCCTCGTTTTATCCGCCTGATCGCTAAGCGCGCGAAGTGGCAGAGGCCCCGGATACCGACTCGGGCCACACACGTCCTCTGCGCGGAACAGAATAGCACCCGTGCCCCACGAGGATGTACAACTATTACTCGCGTTTTTAAAAACGGGGGGGAAGGACTGATCACTCGTCGGACGTGGAGAGAATGGTGGGACCGCACACTTGGGTATTTGCCGCCGGCCATTCCTGAGCGGCTAGTCGCCCACGGCCACGCATTGTGCATGCTGGTGGGAGGGGACCCTCGTAGTTTGGGAAAACAGCAGCAAATAGGGCTTTTAGCTTTAGGAGCCGTGTGACTTCGGGAAAGTTACTTAGCCTCTTTGGGCAACAGCCTCATTTGGACCTCCTCAGGTCCCAAGAATTAAGAGATGACACCGCATGTGAAAACGCTCGCTCTACAGGCATGTATCACCCTGCCCTCTGGCTCATCAGAAAGAAAGCAAATCTTAATTAAAAGAGAAATAGCTCTCATCAGCTGTGTCGCATTACGATGCCACCAGCTGCGCTGCCTGCTGTTTCTGCGCTTCTGCCGGAGAAGCTGAGACGGTCGAGCTGGGGCGCGAGGGTCCGGCCACGCCCCGCGGAGATGAGCGCCCTGGCTGTCACCTCTGCGGGAATCGGAGTGTCCCCCGTATTCAGCTGTGTGTTTCGTTCAGTACCGCTCACTTTGACTTTTTCTCCCAAAGATAAATATTTGGCATGTGGCCCCTTAATTTCTTCCAGCAATGTTGGGAATGGTTCAAATACAGCATGTATGTTGATATTATTGGGCAAAATGTCGCCTCTTATCTCACTACACCACACTCTGAAGTACAGACTCAGAGTTCTTGACTGCACAGTAAGAAGTGCACTTTACCTTGCAATCCAGTTAATTAGTTAGACATATGTATATCAATGTATCTGAAACAGGTTTCACACACACACAAAAAAAAATTAACCCTGGTTAACACTGGGTATTTCTTCTGTGTTTTATCTATTTTATTTTAATTTTTAAAATTTTTCTTTCTTTTCTTTTCTTTTTTTTTTGAGTTGGAGTCTCACTCTCGCCCAGGCTGGAGTGCAGTGGTACATTCATGGCCACCCCAGTGTCAACCCTCCAAGTAGCTGGAATTACAGGTGCGCTACCACACCCAGCTAATTTTTTTTTTTAAATTGTAGAGACAAGGTCTAGCCAAGTTGCTTGGGCTGGTCTCAAACCCATGGGCTCAGGCAGTCCACTCACCTCGTCCTCCCAAAGTGCTGGGATTACAGGCTGAGCAACCAAGCCCGGCCTCAAAATTTTATTTCTTAATGCACTGAGTCACATCCTATAGTTTGAACAACGTTATTCGAAGGACTAATTCTAGTTTGTAGGGTTTTTCTTTTGTTTTTTTTTTTTTGAGTTGGAGTCTCACTCTGTTGCCCAGACTAGAGTACAGTGGTCACTCCCGGCCACCGCAGCATTGACCTGCTGGGCTCCAGCGATCCTTCCGCCTCAGCCTTCTAAGAGTTTTTTTTTTTTTTTTTTTTAAAGACAGTGTCTGCCGCTCAGGCTGGAGTGCAGTGTGCAATCATGACTCACTATAGTCTTGACTTCCTGAGCTCAAGGGATCTTCCTACCTCAGCCTCCCAAGAAGCTAGGGCTACAGGTACAAGTCACCATGCCTGGCTGATTTATTAGATTTTTTTCATTTTTTTAGAGATGGGGTCTCACAATTGCCCAGCCTGGTCTCCAATCCCTGGCCTCAAGCGATCCTTCCACTTTGGCCTCCCCAAAGTGCTAGGGATATAGGCATGAGCCATTGCTTCAGGCCTGTCATGTTTTACTTAGGGTGCTTTATAGGAGTGAGACAAAACTAAAACTAGAAAACCCTTTGAGGAAAACTTGAAAGAATGGCATCATATTGTAGGGAAAAGATGATGACTTAGTAAGAATGAGAGACACACGTTTTGTTACTTCTAAAGAGAAGAATTTTATAACAACCAGAGCTCTAAACTGGGATGCACCACTTGAAACAGATCGTCCTCACTGAAGAGAATGTAAAGACAGAATAAATCACTCACTGTTGAGAATAAGTTGGAAAATGTACATTGGGTAGAGAGTTAAATTTCTTACAAGATCTCTTCTAGTTATAATTTTAAAAAATTTTATGATCTCTGCCCAGTTTTTTGTTTCACTGGAATTTTATGAAATCCAATAGTATTCTTAAGTGGGTCAATATAGGACTCTTTTGCCCCATTCTTTGTTGCAAGGGTGTTTGACCAGATGAATCTTTATTGTTTTTAAACTTCTTATACAACTCCAGATCTAATGATACACTGTGTTCTGGTGATACTTATCTTCAGTCATACTGTGTATGATAAGAATGAAGAGAGCAGAAAATGAACAAGTACAAGGTTAATGTCCTGTCAGTAAAGATAACATGTCATATACAGGATTAAAAATCATTAGGTTTGTGATAAAGTCAATGAATTCTTATGTAATTGTAACATTAGAGTGTTCTGTGATTTGTCCTGATATTTTGCAGAATCCATGATTATCAGAGAAATAGTTTCAAGAAGGAAGTGAATACTTTGAAAATATACTCATCTTGCTAATGAGTATGCAAGTGAGCCATTCTTTCAGAGGGAGACGTCTTGGGATTCTCCCATCATTTGAACCAAAGCACTTCTGATAGAATTTTTGACCTCAAGTTGGTTCTGTGCCACAATTTTTACTAATTTTTAAGAGAATATTGACTTTCTGGAATGATTATCAGCTCATTTTCATCTACTGACTTAAATTTTATTACAAATATACTTCATATACTGTGCATAAAAATATAGACTTTGTAACTTGAATTCAAGTGGATTATTGCAGCTAGCATGTAAATTATTGTTGTGGATTGTAAATCGTAACATAGATGGCTCTGTGCCCTTAGCTTGATAAACCAGTCATCCCTTGTAGTCATCTGTACTAAGATATAGGTAGTGAAATGCTTGCCTCCATTTTTACCGTAAGCAATCTTAGTTCAGATAGTGGGTTCAGAAGTTTAGTCTCTTACTGTTAGGAAAGTGCCTTTGCAATATAGGGGCTCACTTCTAGATACCCATTTCTGTTCCATTGGTTGCCCTAGGTTATCCTTAAAACAGTGATTTCACATTGCTAGTGTGGGCCCATTCGTGGTCATAAATCTGGTTGGTTAGTTGTAAAGCAGCATATTTTTTCTGCTGGATAGAACAGAAGCCATCAGAGTGCCTGGCATGTAGTGAACATAGACACTTGGGAATGTTTTGTCCCAACAGTGTATGTATACAGGTCCTTGCTCATCATGTGAATGCATGTCTTACTTTGAACCACTATCAAATAAGTTTGAAATGGACAGACATAAGAAATACAAAGATAAGCAAACACTTTTGTGAGTTTACAACATACTATAATGTTAGTGTAAAAAATTTCTGTTTATTTAAAAAAAATTGAAGACAAGTTACAGGTGTACCTGAATGCCAAGAGATGACTTACAGACTGTCGTTATGCAAGCTGACTTCTGCAGAACACCTCTAACCTAGTGGTTCTCAAACTTTGTAGTACACAACAGCTACTTGGGATGCTTGTTAAAATGAATGTCTGGCTCTCTTCAGAAGCGAATTGGCAGGTCTAGGGTGGCCCAGGGGTCTGAATGTGTAATAAACAGCACAGGTGAGCTGGATGGAGGAGTTCATCTGGCCACACTTCCTCTCTAACTGTTTGTCTTTGAGAAATATAGCATAGTAGTTAATGCGAATTCTAGTCAGGCAGCTGGGGCTTGAATCCAAGTTCTTCTGTTTATAATCTTATTCTTGAAAAAAATTTTTTTTTTTTTATGAATGCTTTCATGTCTTAGAAGTTTGCTTAAATTTTTGTTGGCATAAAAATACTTAAAATAACTAGACTATTATTTTAGGTTAAGAACATTTTCAAAATAAGAGTAGGATAGAAACAGTTCTGAATTTATGTTGAAGGAAACAAAATCCTAGAGTTAAAATATGGGTTTGTATAGTATTTCCTGTTGACGTCTTTTTTTTTTCCCTGCTTAACTTTTCAAACTAATATAATCTTATTGTAGAAGTATGGAAAACTGCACAGCATTTAACAATTTCAAAATGCTTTCCTTTGTAGCTTCGTGATTGTATCCAAAAGACCCTGAATGAGTGGAGCTCCCAAATCAGCCCAGATTTGGTCAGGGTAAGTAAGTGTAAATGTAGAAGTTTTGCAGGTCAAAAGAGAAGGGAAGTGCGCAGGACGTTAATTTCCTTAGTTTTGTGAGGAATGTTGACTAGGGCGATTAGCCATCAAACTCTCCGTGGTTGATGAGCTGAGATGGCGGTATCATGCAGGAGGCTTAAACATAAAACCGAGTCTGGATGTAGGCAACTCTTGAACTAGACAAGGTACTAGGAGACTCATGCTTAATTTCCACCACAGTTTACTCTCCATCAGTGTACTATTCCAGTAATTACTTGGTCTAGTTCAGGGATGATTATCAAACAGTTTTGGGTGGCAGATTGCTTTGGTAGGCTATCATCCCAGTGATACAGTCACCAGAAATAATTGTGTAAATGTCAGTTTCTGATAACACAATACGGAACTATGTTTCATTAAATGTCAGGATATGGCTGTTATTATAAATGTCACAAAAACTATCTGTAAACCACTCTTTGAAATCCAACTCATGCTAAAAGCTCACCTCAAATTACATAGACTACTTTTAAAGAGGAGCCATGCTTCTCTTTAAGCTCTGACCCCCTCCCCAATCTGGGGGAGGTGGATCCCCTTTTTTCTCTCCAGTCTCCTTTCTAAATAGACTATATTTTCCAATCTAAAAGAAATAAAAAATAAAGTATGGACGAGGGTATGTGCTGGAAATACTCATTCTCATGAGTATACTGCAAGTCTGTAACTCTGTAGCTGCTATACAGACATTGATTAATGTTTTTAATCAGTCTCTCTTTCTCCGAAATGACCATTTATTCTATCTGGGCAGGACTTGTAAACACTTACTGAAACTCTGGTATATGCTATGCGTTGTAATGTGCTCAGGAAACATGGGAAAGTTCTTACTGTCTACTTTGTATGATACTGTAAACATGAGTTAATATATTTCTGATTTATGTATACTAAAATTCGATCATTGTCCTTGAAAATTATTATTATTATTTTGAGTTTGGGGGTCTCATTTTGTTGCCCAGGCTGGAGTGCAGTGGCACAATCAGGTCTTGTCACAGCCTAGACCTCCTAGATTCAAGCAATCCTCCCTTCTCAGCTCCTGAGTAGTTGGGACTACAAGTGCACACCACCACTCTTGGTTAATTTTTTGTAGCGACAAGGTCTCACTATTTTCCCAGGCCGGTCTTGAACTCCTGGGCTCAAGCAATCCTCTTTGTCTCTGCTAAATTACTGATTATAATGCATTGGAATGGCCTTAGTTTTTTCTGTTGCACTAAAAAATGTTTTAATTTAAAATGTAAATTATAAAACTAAACATACTATTGTCACACAATCCAGCATTTGTGCTCCTTAGTATCTATCCTATGGAGCTACAAACTTAAATCCACTCAGAAACCTGTACACAGATGTTTATAGCAGCTTTATACATAATTGCTAAAATTTGGAAACAACCAAGATATCCTTCAGTAGGTGAATGGATATATAAGCTGTGGTACATCCAGACAATGAAATATTCTTCAGTGCTACAAAGAAAAGAGCTATCAAGCCATTAAAAGACATAGAGGAACCTTAAGTGCATATTACTTAGTGAAAAAAGTCTATCTGAAAAGGCTACATGTGCAGATAGTATGATTTCAACTATTTGATATTCTGGAAAAAGCAAAATTACGGAGGCAGCAAAAAGACCAGTGGCTGCTGGGGGTTAGCAGGGAGGGAAGGATGAAGAGCTGGAGTGCAGAGGGTTTTGATGGCAGTGAAACCCCTCTGTATGGTAGCAAGGTGATGGATATGTGTCATTGTACATTTTCCAAACCCAGAGAATGTGCAGCACCAAAAGGGAACCCTAAGGTAAACTGGATATAGGTGATTACAGCATGTCAGTGTAGGTTCCTCAGTTGTAAGAACGTACTGCCCTGGTGTGATGGTGGTAGCAGGGGAGGCTGTGTGTGTGGAGATGGGGGTAAAGGAACAAACTGTAGCTTCTACTCAGCCCTGCTGTGAACCCAAAAATCACCCTAAAAATAAAGTCCATTAAAAAAACCCTAAATTCCCTTGCAGGTTAAAGTGCAATGACATTAAAATCCAAATACATTAAGAAAAAATGTTTATAATTACTGTAGATAGTTTTTAAATATGTTATCCAGAATGGATATGTATTATTTTCATTGGGTTTTTTTTTTTTTTAAGTAAAATTATCTATTGTGCTGGTGGTCCTAACTCTTTACATATTCCCCTCTTTCTTATTTGCTTTTTAATTTTTAATATTTTTGATCATCCTTCTAAATCCCAGGTCAAAATGAACACATTTTCCCAGAAAATAGATACAGACCCCCAGCATTGTACCTTTATTTCAGGTCTTTACAACCTTTGTGAAGCCCATCCAGACCTCAAGTGAAGAAGTGTTGTCTTAACTTTATAATTAATCAGAAGCATTAATATTATATTTATTTTCAATATTATGTATTTATTATAGGAGTTTCCAGACGTCTTGGAATGTACTGTGTCTCATGCAGTAGAAAAGATAAATCCTGATGAAAGAGAAGAAATGAAAGTTTCTGGTAAAGTCCAGCCCTTACAACTCATTTTGTTTCATTATGGAAGTGACTGTGAGGAGTTGTCAGGCATGCTTCTGGTAATGAGCGATTCACACTAAGTGTGTGGAATACAAAGATTCTTTTTTAACTTAACTCTAGTGTAAACTCCAGAGGGCGTGCTTGGAGACCATGCCGGCTGCTCCAGGGAGTCAGGATGGGGCTCCACTGGCTGCTCCTCACGATGTTCTCGTGCCCTGCCTGTCACTCATGTGTTAGACTTTAGCTCAGTGGAAGGAGAAAGTGAAGCTTAGGAGCAGTGTGTAGCCACAGCAGACCCAGGTCCTCCCTTCCTGGTGGGATAGCAGTATCTCAGGTCACCTGGGAGTTAGAAGTCTGGGCAACAATTGCATGGAGAGAAAGAAAATACTTATAATACCCACTGAACAAATGTAGTGAGGGACCACCACATGCCAGAAACTATACTAGGCTCAAGGAAGGTGAAGAGGCCTCATGCCTCACCTTACAGTCAGTACAGCACAGTCATTAAAAGCTGAAACTTGACTACAGAGGGATATTTCTGAGTGTGCAGATTACTGGCTGATATAATCTTTGGCTAACAAAAAATTCAACCTCCCTCAGCCTCAGTGTTCTCTTCTATAAAATGGGGATATATCTGTTTCTCAGACTTCTTTGTAAATTGGATAAAATAACAAAAGCATGTAGCAGTGTTTGCCACAAAGTAAGTGCTAGGTAGCTATTATTTATTACTATATTGTAATTATTGTGTTTGTTACTATTGTTTTATTGAGATGGATAATATAATAAATGTAAGAGGAGATAGGATATGGCCTTTTGATTCTAATAATAATAATGATCATTTATTGAGTCTTGCTTTAATTTTCAAAACAATCCTACAAGGTAGGTCTCTTACCCACTGCACTGTGATATTAAATAACTTGAAAGTTGTCACATAGCCAGTAAGTGGTTGAACCAGGGATCCATCCAGATATGCCTGACTCCAAAACCCATTTCTTCCTATTAATTTCACATTTCTATTTGTGTTGGGAAGGAGGTAAAAGCAGCATACTTTCCGGGTTCGTTGTAATGTTCATCATGATGCAGATTCATCCTGGATGTGTTAGAAGTTGTCCTCAGCTTGTGTAGGGCTTGAGATTTTTGATAGGCATCAAAATTCTCCCCATGTGAAGAGCTTTTCTCTTTATACCTATCCAAAATGCCTCACATTTCAGAGAGAGGAGGCCATTTCAGGTCGCACAGATTCACAGACAAACAGTGGTGGGAGGGTTTTCGTAGAGTGTAATCATGGGAGCTAAGGTTAGACTAAACGGGTGACTGACTGTTGACTCTCATCTGGTCGTGAAGCTGTGATGGCTTTTCAGTAGGGGAGAAATGTGAGGAAAGCAGTGGGTTTTGTTTATTTTTTGCTTTTTGGTTTTCTGGGGGGGGTTTTTTGGAAGATTATCTAGCACTAGAAAGGAAGAGTCAGATAGAAGAAACACAAGAAAATATGTTATATATGTTGAATATCAGGCACTATACATAAGGATGTTTCATTAACCCTGTTACTCTCCACTTCCCCATTTGATTTTTTGCTTGTTCTCCTACTACTCTACCTGTTTGTCTGTTGAGTAAATTTAGATTTTTGAACACTGAGTTTACATAAAGCCTAAAGTACATATAAAGCTGAGTTTAAATCAAGCTGAAGCCTCAGTCTTACAAATACATGTCAATTAATGTGGTCCTAGGTGGGTAGATATGTATTGTACCTACAAAGTTAAAAAAATTTTTTTTACATAGTAACAATCTAAGGCCCAGCACATGTTCATACCTGTACTCCCAGCACTTTGGGATGCTGAGGCAGGAAGATCACTTTAGGCCAAGAGTTTGAGACCAGCCCAGATGACATAGTGAGACCTCGTCTCTACAAAAAAAATTTTTTTTTAATTTAAAACTTAGCCAGGAGGGGTGACATGTACCTGTAGCTTTAGCGCTTGGAAGGCTAAAGTCAGAGGATCGCTTGAACTCAGAAGTTTGAGGCTTCAGGAGTTAAAAGCTTCGGTGAGCTATGATTGTACCACTGAACTCTAACCTGCACAACAGAGCGAGACCATTTATAAATAAATAAAATAGTAACATCCTATATTCTTAGGCGAGCAGCTCTTTAACTGTTGGTGGTCTGGTAAACTAGAACTCATCTTTTATAAAGTAGAAAGGAAAAAATATATAACAAGACTCACACAAAAAAGTCATATCCTTTAACTCAATAATATTTCTGACAGTTCAATCCTTGGGAAGTGTTTTAGTATAAAGGGTTGAACAGAAAGTTACCAGGATGCTTGCTTTAGCATTATATGTGATAACAGAAAACTAGAACTACTACTGAAACATTTACTAGCCTAAATGCTCACTAAGCAGGAACTCATTTACTAAATTATGCCCTATCAAAATTACAAAATAATGAACAACCATTAAAAATGAATATGTAGGCTGGGCTCAGTGGCTGTAATCCAAGTACTTTGGGAGGCCGAGGAGAATAGATTGCCTGAGCCCATGGGTTTGAGACCAGCCCGGGCAACTTGGTGAGACATCATCTCAACAATAAATCAAAAATTAACTGGGCGTGGTAGCATGCACCTATAGTTCCAACTACTTGAAAGACTGAGTTGGAAGGATCGCCAGAGCCCAGAAGGTTGACGCTGGGGTGGCTGTGAGCCTGCGTGCCACTGCACTCCAGCTTGGGCGACAGAGTGAGACTCCAACTAAAAAAAAATGAATGTGTAAAATTTTACATTAAAAACACAGAATATATTCAAGGCCACCCTGGAGTGAAAAAAAAAAAAAAGCTACAGAGTCCACAAGAATGTAAATAGTAATCACTTTGTGTGATGAGACTCTTGGCAGTTCTTTTTGGTCTTTCTACATTTGTAAGTTTTCCTTATTTCTAAATAAGCAAATGATTATTATGATTAAAAAATGTTAAGATAAATACTATGTAGACATATATTTAAAATAGTTATTACATAAAGATAAGTCAAATAGAGGTAGAAATAATGTTATACCCTGCTTCATATGACCAAAAACTGGAAGGTAATACCTAAAATGAAAATGATTGTATTGAGAAGGTAGAATTGTGGATTTTTTTTCCCGTTTTCTTCCCATTACAGCACTTTAGTCTTTGTTTAATTGTACATTATATAATATACACCATCAGTGTTTAATTCATAAACATATACATTTCAAATAATTTAAGCCCCTATATTTATCTGACCTGCCTTCCAGTAAAGGGGAAATTAATATTTGCTTTTGTTTTGACAAACATATTTATTGACAACTAGCATATAATTTAAAAAGTACAGTGGTAGGCACCTGCACACAGGCCGCAGTGGGTATGACATCATCACTCCTGGCAGTCTGCAAGGAAAGTGCTGCTTCATCTGTGCGTGGCCATGAGCGGCGGTTCTCCAGCATTTGGCCTCAACAGCATTTTCTATCAGCAAGGCATATATCCAACTGAAGCCACTACTCCAGTACAAAAAGATGGACTCAACTTGCTCATAACTACTGATCTTGAGTTTCTAAAATGCCTGATAAGGTGGTGGGCAAGTAAAAGGAAGCCCAAGTGACTCTGCTACAGCCTGTGTCACTCTGTGACCTGCTAGTCCTGAAGTTCTGTACGGAGGACCCCAGAAGTTGGGAAATGGTCTCAGTTGCCTTTGAGGATGTTGCTGTGAACTTCAACTACAAAGAGTAGGCTTTGCTAAATCCTTCCCAGAAGAATCTTTACAGATATGTGATGCAAGAAACCTTCAGGAACCTAGCTTCTATAGGAAGCAAATAGGAAGACTAGGATATTAAAGATCAGTGCAAATATTGTTAGAGAAATCAAAGTTAATGTGCACTCAGGAGAAGAAGTAATATTGCTGGAAGCAATGTTAGCATGTCATGATATTTTAAAAACAAAAGTCATATAGACTATGTGAGATTAAAGAAGGTGGTGAGTGTGGAGAAACCTTCAGTCAATCTCCAAATCTTAATCTGAATAAAACATTTATACTGGAGTAAAGCCTTGTGAATTCAGTATATGTGGAAAAATTTCCATATGTCATTCATCCCATAACATACTCCTCATATCCCACTCTGAAAGCAAATGATATGAGTATGAGAAATGTGGAGAGAAGCCAGATAAATGTAAGTGATATCAGAAAACCCTTTTTCTCACACATATTTGAAGAAAAATACTAGTGCACACTGGAAATGAACATTACAATTGTACAGTATGTGGGAAAGACCTCACCATTTGTAAATCATCAAGAAAAGTCACACTGGAGAGAAACCCTATAAATATAAATGTGGTAAAGGCTTCAGTTTTTCTTTTTTTCTTAACATTAAATAATTCACACTGGAGAAAAACCTAATTTAAAAAACTACAATGGTAATATACATTTATGTCTTAAAATGGAAACTATAAAATTATGTGACTAGGAAATACTCATGTAATTATTTCAGAATTATCTATCATATTAGTATTGTAGTAATGTTAATACTAGTATATAGTAAAATGTGTACTCAGATGTTTCTGTTTCATTATCCAGCAAAACTATTCATTGTAGGATCAAACTCTTCGTCATCAACTAGAAGTGCAATTGACATGGGTAAGCAAAAATTTAACTTTGTATCTTAATAGTGAACTTTAAATTTGTGTAGGTGTATTCTTTATAAATTATGTTTAGGTCTAAGTAAAAAGAAAATTACCTGATTCCAATTTTACCATTTAAAGTTTTACCCTAATTGCTTAAGGCTTCTGTAGAATCATATGACTTATGTAGGGTCATGTTTTGCTATATTAGAAGAATATAAAAATGTAACATTATTAAATGTTCACTATCTATTTGGGGATAGAAGTTCTCCTTAATCTTAGCCCTTTTTTTAGTACTATATGTGAAAAATCAAAAACAACAGCAGCAAAAAACCCAAGTATTTTATATCTATTTTCAACACTTAGGTTATCATGATATTACAGCTATTCAATACTTATTTTATTTTATTTTATTTTTGAGTTGGAGTCTCACTCTTGCTGCCCAGGCTAGAGTGCAGTAGCACGCTTCATGGCTACTGCAGCCTCAACCTGCTGGGCTTAGGCAATCCTTCCGCCTCATCCTTTCAAGTAGCTGGAACTACAGATAAACACTACCACACCCAGCTAGTGTGTGTGTGTGTGTGTGTGTGTGTGTGTGTGATTTATTGTAGAGATGAGGTCTCATCAAGTTGCCCAGGCAGGTCTCAAACCCCCAGGCTCAGGCAATCCTCTTGCCTTGGCCTCCCAAAGTGCTAGGAATACAGGCTGAGTCACCGTGCCCGGCCTAGTACTTACTTATTTTAAAAACATTCTTCCAGACGGGATGTGGTGCATGTGCCTATAGCCTCAGATATTTGGAAGGCTGAGGTGGGAGGATCACTAGGGCCCAAGAGTTTGAAGCTGTAGTGAGCTGATTGCGCCACTGCACTCCAACCTGAGCAACAGGGTGACACCCCATCTCTTTAAAAAAAAAATTTTTTTTCAATATTTGTATATGTCGAGAACTTAAATAATTGACCCTTTAATGTAACTGTAAATAAACAGTAATTTAAAATAATCTCTTAAATTATTATTATTATGTTTTTTTTTTTTTTTGAGTTGGAGTCTCACTCTGTCACCCAGACTGGAGTGCAGTGGCCACTCCCGGCCACCGCAGCCTCGACCTGCTGGGCTCCGGCAATCCTTCCGCCTCAGCCTTCCAAGTAGCCGGAATTACAGGCGTGCGCTACCACGCCCGGCTGATTTTTTGATTTATTGTAGAGATGAGGTCTCGCTGCCCAGGCGGGTCTTGAACCCGCGGGCTCAGGCAATCCACTCACCTCAGCCTCCCAAAGGCGCGGGATTACAGGCTGAGCCACCGAGCCCGACTAATTATTTTTATAGAAATTAAAATATTATCTAATCTGTTATTTAGAAAACCAGTGAATGATATAGACAGAATTCAGTAGGATACTTTGAGGTCATCAGAATATATGTTTATATTATGTAACAAACACATACCCTCTTCGTGTTTTCCTTCCCATCAGCCTGCTCAGTCCTGGGAGTTGCACAGCTGGATTCTGTGATTATTGCTTCACCTCCTGTTGAAGATGGAGTTAATCTTTCCTTGGAGCACTTGCAGCCTTACTGGGAAGAATTAGAAAACTTAGTTCAGAGCAAAAAGATTGTTGCCATAGGTACCTCTGATCTAGACAAAACACAGCTGGAGCAGCTGTATCAGTGGGCACAGGTAAGGACAGCTTGACCATGGGCACTCTTGGGGCCCCTTCCCTTTCCAGGCTTTGATGTGCTGTTGAGTGTCTTGCACGTAGTGGACACTCACTGTGGGGTGATGCTTCCAAATATGGAAGTTTGGTTTTGTTTTTGTTTTTGTGGGAGTTGGAGGCAGGTTTAATCTAAAGCATTAGAGTTTTTTTTTTTATAAATATATGTCTAATTGAAATGAATATTAATCCCAGTTAAAACGAATGACAGAAACACTAGACAATGTGTGTCAAAGTATTTATAGCCAAATAAATTAAGCCATTTCCTTTGGTTTTACTTATGTGCTAAAAATATTACACTGTTCTTTAGGTATTATTAGGCCATGGCTTTAATTTCCCAAGGAAGAATATTATAATTAACAAATATTTTGCTGACTGTTATTCAAAGATGTGTGAGACTCTCAGAACATAAAATTCGATATGGAGTGGGTTTCACAAATTAATCACCCCCACTCCCTGGCCTAATAACCTGCACAGTTATTAGGGCTAAGTTACTTACTAGTATTTTACCTTTACTCTGCATTTTTCTTTATTCCCTTTCCTTCATGCTCAGTCTCCTCCTTCTTCCTTTTAAGAGTTTCATATGCACAGGAAGAACCTAGAGAAGAATTGCCCCTTCTGTCTTTGACTTAGTGATAACCAGAATGTGACCAAGAAACTGCTAGAGAGACTTAGATGATTCCAAATGTATATATAAATTAGCCAATGCAGCTACTGGAAGTTATCTTTCTCTTTCAAAATATGTCTGGGCCAGGCATGGTGGCTCATGCCTGTAATCTCAGCACTTTGGGAGGTGGAGACAAGAGGATTGCCTGAGTCCAGGGGTCACGAACAGGCTGGGTAACTTGGCAAGACCTCATCTCTACAGTAAACCAAAAAATTAGCCATGCGTGGTGGCACATGCCTGTATTTCTAGCTACTTGGGAGGCTGAGGCAGAAGGATCCCCTCAGCCCAACAGGTTGAGGCTGTGGTGGCCATGAGTGTGCCACTACACTACAACCTGAGCAACAGAGTGAGACTCTGACTCAGGAAACAAAACATTGATCAGACCAAAATATGTCTGATTAATGGCCACGCTTTAAATTTTAACATGAAATGAAATATCAAGTATCAATTACTTGTATTTGATCCTCTGCCTTTAAGACCTGTTCCCTCTATAGCTGAAATTGTCATACTTAGAACCACTAGGTTTTCTAAGCAGATGTATCAGATTGTTAAAAGTTCCAGCAAGAGACTATAATAGTATAGTACCATATTGGATATTTCCTCCTCCTACAGCTGTATTTCCTTTCCCTGTTACCACTAACCTGGGTTAGAAAAGTATCTTAGTGAGGATATTCATGTAAAAGTATTTTATAAACTTTAAGCATTGTAGAATGCAATTTTTCATATGTTCTAAAATTGTTATTGTACTGTTTTCTACTTTCTGTATTATACTTTATTAAGCAATGATATCATGATTTTATTTCCACTTCTAGGTAAAACCAAATAGTAACCAAGTAAATCTTGCTTCCTGCTGTGTAATGCCACCTGATTTGACTGCATTTGCTAAACAATTTGACATACAGCTATTGACTCATAATGATCCAAAAGGTAAGACTGATATTTTCATTATAGAGATTGATCATGAGCTTTTGTCTTACAAAAAGCTACTTGTTGATAATAATTTTAAGTATGAGTAGTGATAAATGTACAGTGTTGTTATCTAGAACTATTCTATTTTTTTTTTTTTTTTTTTTTTTTGGAGTTAGAGTCTCTGTCTCCCAGGCTGGAGTGCAGTGGCATGCTCATAGCCACCGCAGCCTTGACCTGCTGGGTTCAGATGTTCCTTCCACCTCAGCCTTCCAAGTAGCTGAAACTACAGGCATGCGCCACCACGTCTGGCTAATATTTTGATTTATTGTAGAGATGAAGTCTCATCTAGTTGCCCAGGCTGGTCTCAAACCTGTGGGCTCAGGCAATCCTCTCACCTCAGCTTCCCAAAGTGCTGGGATTATAGGCATGAGCCACTGCACCCAGCCCTAGAGCTATCCTTAATGGTTAGTTCAAAACACAAATGACTTTTATTCCAGAAAGCTTTATTTTAATCTCTATACCAACGGGGAAAAAAGTGTAGGGATCATTTCCTGAACATCTGGTTTGTTGAGGTTCACAAATATTAAACTACACAGAAAAGATATTTTGAGTAATTTAAAAGATATGTATCTGGTATCAGAAAAAGAGTCATGTATAATTTATTTCAAAACTTAAAGTCTTAGGAAAAATAAGTGATTAGGTATTCTATGTTTAGTGTTAACCAGAAACATTATTTGGTTAATTAGAATGGCTTGTCTGCCTTATATAGAATAATTTTTTCTCAACATTTTACAAGATAACCAGAAAGCCTTGGAAGATAATATTTAACATAACTTGCAAAGATAAATATTTCAGAAAGCCTGTATATTTACTGCTTTTTATATGTGAGAAATGTTTGGTTATAAGTGAGAAATGTCTTGTGAAAGTTTTAGGACTCTATGATATTTTTATACAGATCTGGCTTTTTTTCTCACTCTGTCACCCAGGCTAGAGTCTCACTGAGTCACCCACGCTGGAGTGCAGTGGCACGCTCATGGCCACCCCAGCATTGACCTGCTGGGCTCCTGCAGCCCTTCCGCCTCAGCCTTCCAAGTAGCCGGAACTACAGGCACGCTACCATGCCTGGCTAATTTTTTATTTATTGTAGAGACAAGGTCTCACCAAGTTGCTCAGGTCTCAAACCCATGGGCTCAGGCAATCTACTTGCCTTGGCCTCCCAATGTGCTGGGATTACAGACTAAGCCACCGAGCCCAGCCCAGATTCTGGCTTTTAATAAATATTGGAGGAAATTATATTTCATAGATGATTCCTGGAGAAAAAGCAGTTTTTACTTTCATGTGTAAAAAGATGACATGATATTGGTGGGTTGACTCTATTTACTCATTTTTTAAATGCTATGGATAACCTATTAAGACTATGCTACTTATTAGCAGTCTGCTGCTTATTTTTTTCACTGTATCATTGGAGGAGGAGGAAATGAAGGAGGAAGAGTTTTAATAGTGTTCTTGAATGCCAGGAATCATGCCAAATGCCTGAGAGAGATTATCTCACAGTTTACGGAGCCTTTCCCATTACTGTTCTTTCTCTGATTTGAAATGTTAGTTATAGTGTTTCCATTTGAAAACTTTATTTTCATTTAAATGACACTAGAATAAGATATAGTGACTTTTGCCTCCCCAGTAAAGCTTTCACAAGCAAGTAAATAGATTTATTTTTTAAGTCATTTTGGTGAAAATCTATAAAGAATTGCTATGCTGATTCATTCTGAAATATATGCCATTTAAATTTCAACTTCCTAGTGTTGGCAGATATCACCTATCTGTTAACTTTCGGGGTCTCCTCTAATAGTAACTGTTAACTACAGCTGATGATCAGCCTATTCCCTCTAAAGGAAATAGGAAAAGACAAAGGTATCTAGTATTTTACTACCCATATCTAAATGCTGACTTTTAGATTATGTGCTAATACATTGTTATGGTAAAATATATTATATATATATATATATATATATATATATATATATATATGGAGGAGATTTATTTCTTTTGTTATGTATTTTGTATTACTGACGTAAAGACTTGGTTGTCTTAATTTTAAATCTAAACCTTTTGGTTAGAATTTATAGGCTTATCCTGTATTTACCATTAATGAACCTTCAGACACTTTATAATGAAGTAACTTTTAATTTGTTGTTTAAACTAAAAACCATAGTTAAATTTTTTAAGTATGTCAAGTCAATGAACAGCATAGTTCTCAGATTTTGTGTCCAATTTTTTATTATTTAGGCAACCAAACTATAAAACATTTAATTCTGCTTGTCATATAAAATAAAGTTTTGTGTATAAATCCCCTGAAGGTCTACCTCTCTTCTAAAATCTCCTTACTTCTCAGAATGGGTTTATTTTCCACCACCCGCTGTCCTAAAAGCTGCACTTTAATTACAGTTGAGAGAAATGGTGACGTAGGAGGTCATGACTTGAGACCTCTCTCTTTTGTATTTGCTTTGCTCCTCTCCCACTCCCATTACATCTCATCTGTGTTATATCTTATTTCCTCAGGGCCTCTTTGGTGTTAAGCAAATTCAGATGAATGTTACTTTTCCAAGGAGACGTTTGCATTCTGTTTATGAAAACTACCATTTACTAGCTGTGTAACCTTGGGCAAATTACCTATCCGCCTTGGTTTCCCCCTATGAAAGGGGATAAAAGTACCTATCTCATAGGATTATTAACATGTGGCTTAAATGAGTTAATACGTGACAGGCACTTGGAAAAGTGCCAGCACATGATAATAGCTAACATTTATTGAGAGTTTACTGTGAATGCTATTCAAGTATCACTGCCGTTCATTTGGGACTAGGCAGGTCCTTTAGCATTCCCAAACTGTACTGTGAAGATGGCCACTTTATCTGTTGGTTGGTCCTGACCCCAGCAGCATCTTTCCGTATTGACTGATTCATTCACTGGACATTTGAGCACCCATTTTCCTGGCTACTAGAAATAAAGGACCAAATCAGACAAATTCTGGCCTCCGTGAGATTTATATTCTAATGGTCCAAGAAGACAGACAAGAAAATAAATGTTGTGTGATACATGGTAGTATATGCAGTGGAGAAAAGTTGGCTGAGGGAGGAGAAGAGCCTCCATATGGGCAGGGAGGCCTCTTTGCTGAAATAATGGTAATCAGAGACCTACAGAAGGGAGTGAACAATGTGAATATGTGGGAGAAGAATGTTCTGAAAAGAGGGAGCAACTGATTCAGAGGCCCCAAGGTGTAACATGCTAGACCTTTTTGGAATTTAGCAAGGAGGTCCGTGTGGCTGGGGTAGCAGTGAGAAGGGGAATGGTGGGATGTGGCATCAGAGCGGTCTTAGAGGGCTTGGGTATAGACTTAGAATTGGAAAATAGGGAGCTCCTCAAAGAAGTGCCAATTAAAAGATAACCATTGGCAAAGATTTTTTTAAATGATTGCTGGTGCTCATGAGGATATAAAATTGGCACTTGCCCATTATCAGCTGCTGGTGGAAATGTGAAGTAGAGCCTTTCTGGAAAGCAGGTGCCAATAACACATGACGCCAGCCGGGCTCGGTGGCTCAACCTGTAATCCCAGCACTTTGGGAGGCTGAGGTGAGAGGATTGCCTGAGCCCGCAGGTTCGAGACCCGCCTGGGCA